CGATTAAAAGGAACTCGAAATGCCAAAAGATTAATAATATTTAGAAGACAACTTGTCCTCCAAGTAGTTTGGAGAACTACTTGAGAGAAAAGTGTGGAGTAGAAGTGTTGAGGTGTGTTGAAAACTCCTCCCAACATCCCTTTTTATACTAGGGATGGAATGAGGGCAAAATAGTCAATTCACACACTTTTAGTTTTAAAGAAACTAGAAAGTACACTAAAGCAAATTAATGGTACAATAAAGTAAACTTATAGTTAAAAAGCAACTAAATTAGTCTTGTAAACTCCAGCTAATCTGATTAAACTACAGCTGGTTCAACTTTAGATGCTCTCAAATGTCTTCCCAAGTCATGTCAGTCAACTCCAAGTCTTATCTTTCTCTTCATCTGCCTTCAGGTCATGCTACCACATTCCTACAGCATCAACCTGCTCCAATCTGTCCAAAATAAGCTCAATTTAGACCAAAATCCACTAAAAACAGGTTCATCATTCTTCTTAGCATAAAAATAGAGAAAAGAGATAAAATGACTCAAAGTTGGGATATAAATGGAAAATAACCTATCTAAAGAGAATAAAAAAGTACTTTACGTACTAAATACTTAGTACGTATCACATCCCCAAACTTAAACCGTTGTTTGTCCCCAAGCAACCAAAAGACAACTAAAAATAACTCAATTTTGAAAATTTGCAAGAAAATGCAGTAAGTGCATACTCATATGTTGATTATGCCAAAATGCACCATATAGCTTTCATAAATCTCAAGTAAGCATATCCTAACTAACCATTAGCATAAACCATAAGCTAGCTCTATTTGCTCTTTGTTATGCTCAACACATCATATATTCTAAGATCAATAGGACTTTGAAGTAACTGATTTACTCTCATTTGGCACATTTTTTCCTCTCTTTGCCTTTTCTCTCCTTTATGCATCAACATTAAATTTTTCAAAATTTTGGCACTTTGTGCTCTTTTGTTGAATGCATTTACACCTGCCCCTATGGGACATTTTTGGTGTTTACACCTGCCCCTATGGGACATTTGTGGTGTTTTAGATCTCAAATATTTCATGTAAGCTTTGTGCACTTTGTGCAATTTGATCTCCACTTTTGGCACTTTGTGCTCTTTTGCATTGCTTTGATCAATGATGGTACCCTCCCCCAAACTCAGATTTTTCAATGTCCTCATTGGAAGTATATAGGGGGCTGTTTATGCAATGGCTACAAGTGGCTAGATTTTGGAGAAAAGAACAAAGGGCCTACATCCTTTCTTAGTTAAGCATATGATGAGGATCAAGATGTGGTCCCAAGCAAAACAAGCTAGTTCTAGTGATACCAAGTGACTAGAAAGTGTAACTAAACTACAAGAATTATTTTGGCTATACAAGCATATGTCAATTATAAACATATGTGTTCTTTGCAAGAAAATAAACTAAAAAGTGTAAAAGACAATCCCAGACTCAAGAAAAATAAAACAAGTTGAAATAAAATAAATAAAAGAAGCTAAAGAGGGGATGATGGAACCTGTCCTACTCCATAGGAGTAGGTGAAGTGGAGATGCTGTCCTTCAACCTCTTGCACTCCTCCTTCAATTTTTGCATTTTCTTCAAACAACCTTGCATTCTCATCCTTGAGAGCCTTCCTCTTTTTGCCCAACTTCTTGATTTGGGCACTTGTCTTTGCCTCCAAGTCAGCCTTGACCAACTTATGGACGATTATTGTTATGGATGTGAAATTATTGTTATGGACGATTTTATGTTGACAAAAATAAGGACTAATCCCTTTTTGGTCGTCAACGGTCAATCCCATAGCTTTTGTGTGCAACTTCAACATATCCACCAATTTCTTTTCTCGATGTAATTCTAGGGTAGATGATATAATGACAGGTAACGTACCTTCTTCTCCTAGAAAAACATACTTCAAATGAGATGGGAGTTCCTTTAACTCCAGGTCAGGTGATGAAATTATGGACGGGGTAAAATTCTTAAGCTCACCATTATCCAGCAACTCAAATGCTGCAGCATCAGATGGGACATCACCTTCTAAATCCTCAACAGTCTCATCACATATCTCAACACTCTCCTCCTCTTCTAACTTACAGGCATTCCTAGCTCCTTCCTCATAGCACATTGTCTCTATCTCAGTAACTCCTGAGCATTCCTCTAAGTAATCAGGGTACTTTAAGGAATTGAAGACATTGAATGTGACTTTCTGTCATGGTTAGCTCTCCATTTTGGACATCAATCAAAGTTCCACCAGTGGCTAAGAAAGGTCTCCCTAAGATGATGGGAATATCCTTATCAGCCTCAAAATCCAGGATAATGAAGTCAGCTGGAAATATGAATTTGTCAACCTGAACTAAGACATCCTCAATCTTACCTTTAGGATAAGCAATGGTTCTATTGGCCAATTGCAAAGTGACAGTGGTGGGTCTAGCTTCTCCTATGACTAAGGTGTCGAAAACAGACAAGGGCATAAGGTTGATACTAACACCTAAATCACACAATGCTTTACCAATCTCCTTTCCACCTATAGAACATGGAATAGTGAAACTTCCTGGGTCTTTAAGCTTAGGAGGTATTTTGTTGGTTAGAAGCGCACTACATCCTTCGGTAAGAGCTACGATCTCATATTCGATCACCTTTTTCTTCTTACTTAAAATGTCTTTAAGGAACTTGGCATAACTRGGCATTTGCTCAATTGCTTCAACAAGAGGTATGTTGATGTGCAATGCTTTAAACACTTCCAAAAACTTCTTAAATTGCAGTTCTTCCTTCTGATTCCTTAACCTTTGGGGAAAAGGAACATAAAGAGGAACTGACTTTATGATGACTTTGTTTGGTTGTGTTGAACAAGATGGGTCTAGAGTGCCTAGAGTCTTGGTCTTACTTTCTTGAGGTTCAGATGGGATTACAACCTTGGTTTTTGGACCTGTTATAACCTCATCCTAGCAACTTTTTCCTAGCAACTTTTTCTGGGAATAACAAAGGATAGTCCGACTTATGAGGAACAAAAGTGGTGGTCTTAGATAGTTGGTCATCTAGAGGTTTTGGTGGACTTTCAATAACAGGGACCATGGGTATAGTCTCAGGTTTAGACACAACATGTTCACTTTCTTTTGGTATGGTCTCTGTTAATTCCTTCCCACTCCTAAGAGTCACTACTTTCATATGTTCCTTTCCTAAGGCTCTTGGGACTTCTGTGTTACTAGGCAAGGTACCAAGGACTCTATTGCTCTGATTAAGAGCAAGTTGACTGACTTGCGTTTCCAGGTTTCTGATGGCAGCACTTTTTTGATTGAACAGAGACTGATTCTGAGAGTTATGTTGGGTTATCAAAGCTTGATTTTGAGATTGAGCTTGCGCAAATAACCCTTTTATCATTGCTTCCAAAGAAGATGATAAATCAGTCTGTGGATGTGGGTTGTTTTGAAAAGGAGGTTGAGTAGTTTGAAAACTTTGGTGATGAGTTTGAGAACTGCTTGCATGCTGTTGAGGTTGAAAATTAGAGGTTCCTTGTTGCTTATGAACAGGTGGATTCAAACCCGGACCGTTCCATGAAAAATTCGGGTGTTGTTTCCAACTTGCATTGTAACTGTAGGTATAGGGACAAAATCCATTATGAACAAAGTTTATGGATTTAGAATTATGAGGACAATGTTCATACGAGTGTTCCCCACCACAACAAATACATTGCACTGAAAAGGACTTTTGGAATAGGTGTAGTAACAGCTGGCTGCACTCCTTGGCCAGAAGTAAGGTTTTTAAGCATGGTGGCCATGGAAGTGAGCTGTGCTGTTAATGCAGTATATGCATCTACATCATGTATTCCAACAGTCTTCTTTTGCGATTGAGCAAGTGGATCAACCCAATGTCAATTGTTCGCAGAAATTTTTTCAAGGATCTCATATCCTTCATTATAGGTCATAGCTGTAAAGGCTCCTCCCGCAGTCGCATCGAACATCTGTTTAGCTATGGGACTTAACCCATTGTAGAATGTCTCGAGTTGAATACAGTAGGGAATGCCATGGTGTGAGCATCTTCTTAACAGCTCTTTGAACCTTTCCCAAGCGTCAGGAACAACTTCATCGTCCATTTGTTTAAAAAGGCAAATTTCGTTTCTGGACTTAGCGTTCCTTGTTGGTGAGAAATATTTTCGCAAAAACTTTTCCGCCATATTACTCCATGAAGGCACAGACCCCGGAGTTAATGAAGTGAACCATGCCTTTGCCCGATCCCTCAGAGAAAATGGGAATAAAGTAAGTCTCAAAGCATCATTAGACACTCCCGGGATCAGGAAAGCATCAGTGATTTCCATAAAGGATTTCGAATGTGAGTGTGGGTCATCCGAAGGTAATCCGGAAAATTGTCCATTTGTTTGCAACATGTGAAACATAATCAGTTTTAGTTCAAAATGAAGAGCGGTCATATGCGGCCTAACTATCCCAGAATTTAATTGCTCAAAATCCGGAATGGCATAGTCCATGATCCGTCCATTTTTGGAATTTGCCAAATTAATGATGTTCCGAGTTTGCTCTCTTGGTTGTTCATTATTCTCCGACTCTGTTTCCTCATTATGATTATTATGGTGCTGGTGTTCTTGCTGAAAATTCGAAAAAAGTGGTATTGTCCCAAAGGCAGGCGGTTGGTTTTCTAAATGTGGAATCTCAGGGATGATTGGGGGAGGTAACTCCATGTTGGGAGAGAGTAGAGCAAAAAATGCTCTTTGAGCCCTCCTTCTTTGGCTAAACGTTCTCTCAATATCGGGATCCAATTCAAAAATAACCCCGTGATATCTCCGTGACATACACCACTTTTAAAAAGGGTAAAACGGGATGAGAAAAATCAAATCTATTACTTTACTAAAAAAAAACTTTTAACTAACTAATCCCCGGCAACGACGCCAAAAACTTGATGGTCGTCGAACACCACAGCCACAAACAACAATCAGGACCAAAAGCAAGTATACAAATAGTCTCAATATCGTCTTTCAAGTAATAAAAGTGGTACAAGTACCGGATATCGTCCACAGGGATCGTAGTAAAAGTTTAAAAGAAAGTAAAGTTAAGAAAATGATTTCAGAAGGCGAATTCGAAGACTTTGATTAGAACAGAGTTAACACAACTAAAAACAGGAGATAACAAAATATAAAAGCAAGCTAGGGTGTATGACTTTTCGGGTGAGATGTAAATATTATTTCTAGTCGACCAATGATGTCAAAATGCTACAGCATGAAACCATGCTGACAGATTGCTACAACATGAAATCAGTAACAACTATTTTTACCAATTACTTTGAAGGTATTCCTCTCGGACTTCACCAATGTACTGATATTATAGCTTTCAACACATACCTCTATGAGGTATCCAGACCAGTGAAAGTGACAAATGGTGTCTTCAAAGTATATGGACAAACAAATCTCTTTGCTAAAAAAAACTCACTCTCTCGAGTGGACTCCCATATCATTCAAGTTGACGTGTTTTGAATGGCTCATCTCTGAATCCATTCCACTTTAACACTTCAGAGTGATCAACCCGTCAAGAATTAACAACTTAGAAAATACGGACAACAAATCTCTTTGTTAGCAACTCTCTCAAGTCTACTTCCCATATCATCCAAGTTGACGTGCAAACAA